TATATATATACTTTTAATGTTGTATGAACAATATTATGCTGATTATAATTAAAATTTGTAACTTGTTTATTGCCACGGAAAGATTTTATTGGTCGTATAAAAATATGCAAATAATATGGAATACATCAAAAGTTGAGAATTGGTTTTTGTTGTGAAAAATGTTTATTTTTCAGTTGTTTATGTTGTTTTAGTTGTTTTAGTTGTTAATATTTATTTTGCATAATTATTTAATGATATAAAAAATAGGAATTATTTTAACTCCATTTTAATCAATTTACAAAAATAAAAATAAATTTTCACTTTATTGTATTATTTATTACTTTTCCCCAAATTTAAACGGTATTCCATATTAAATCCTATTTTTTAAATCCTTACATTTTTATACCTTACTTTTTTATTAATATCTTCTAAAATTTTGTTTGGATTTAAATTTTGGCGATTCTCATTTATGGAATGTTATAGCTAACATGTTTTTCAAGAGTTCTGTATAAATTTAAAATTTTCATATGTATTTATATCGAAGTAATGTTAATTTAAAAATTCCGATATTCCTTGCTTTTATCCTATTTGTAAATAAATTAAAACAGCCTACAGATAGCCATACACTTGAAGCTAAAAAATTGCATTCGATTACAGATATTGTTTGTTCAAATATAAAAATCATGTTTATGAAATTCGATATTCAACGATGGAAATCGAAAAATCACTCCATCGCGAGCAATTCTTCTGAATGTGTTTCACAATTAGATTTATTTGGAGAGGAAGAAGATTACGTTGAATAATACTAATTATTTACACGGCATCCTTAATCGGATTTAATATAATCTGTAGTTATGAAAATGATCAATCAGTCATTCCATTCTTCAGAGGAATAACTATGATTAAGAGTGATTGTATAAATGTAGTTCATGTTTGCACCGTGATATTGCATATCGTGAGATTTTTTTGCGTGTTACATCGTTGTCACTCCATAAATCTGTCCCATTGGAAAGCATCTCCGCAAGCGTCGTTAGAAACGAGGATGCTTTTTCAGTATGCACTGCACGCATAATTGAATATGTAAACGCGCATAATAAGCGTTCGACGACTTTGATAAGACTAGATTAATTTTGTATCCTTCCCCCCTCCTACCCCCCACATGTGCGCCTGCGTATTATAGCTAAACTCTCACACTGAGCAATTGATTTTGCAATCTTTATATAAATCGCGCAAATGCGTTGCCATCATGTAACTATCGCTATATATTTTCTAAATCGGAGATTGTGTCGACGTTACCACAATCATGCAACTTATTCATGTTTGTATGTGGTTTTGTAATTATTATAGATAAATATTATGGAAAAGATATGTAGATATATATGTCATAGAAATAAATGTCTTAATTTACAGAAAAAAGTTTAATAAAAAATATCTTAATTTAGAGAAAAAAGTTCAATAAAAATATTCTGAAATATAATGTAACATATTTTTAGAAAAATATAATAAATTTTACGATATATAAATTCAGCTAATGCCTTATTATTTATATATAATTATTTTGGTAATTATCTGTGTAGATGAATAAATGGCTTTATATTATTTTTATCTAGATTATTAAAATATATATTAGCTCCATTTATATTTATCTTAGATAAAAAATAAGCGCAATCTTTTTAAATTATCTTAATGTGTAGTGAGTTTAGAGTATGTACCCCTTTCCTTCCAGATTCTATAAGATTTTAAAGAATTTCTTTTTTATAAAAAAAATTAATTTTTTAAGAAATAGAGATTTATATTGTAAGTGAGAATATATCTATATTCTAAATAATTTTGTTTAAAATTATCTTAAAATTCTAAAATCTAGATGAAAGGACTTATAATTTAACAATAAAAACAATGAAATATAGACTCTTTCAAATCTAAGAATTTAATTAAAATGCACTAGGAGTTGGCACGGAAAATAGTGTGCAAAATGTTAATAATAAATTATTTTAATAACATACGAATCCTCTGACTTATAATTTCATCTTTTTATCTAGATATATTTAAAATGATGTCATCTTTATCTTATCTAAGATAGATTTATGTGTAATTTATCCTATCTTTATCTAGGTAATTTTTATTTATTTAAGAGCAACACTATATATACGAAATTTCATGAATATCCTAGCTGATAAATCATTTCCGAGTGGACAATTCGCATTGATAGGAAACTTACACATACATCCATAATGATGCAATATTTAACTCGCAAATTATCGCGCATAATGTAAGCTTGATCCTGCGAACATCTTCAATAAGAACGTCTTTCAATAAGGAATAATAGATTCATATTGTTATCGTGATACTTGCAGGACCATAAGAGGAAGTCCGCATTTTGGCGAAAAGGTAGACCATGCTGAAATGATGTGATTTTCTCCTTAATGGCTGATAATTGTTCAGTTCAAGAGTGATCTGGTAGCATCGTTATCATAATGAATCGAGAAAACGAGGAAGTATGTTAGCAAATATGAGAGTATCGTTCACCTTCAGTTTCTTTCTTTTCTTTTGTTCATTTTTTTTTGCTCGTTATGAACGTTCCAGAATCCTTCATATAGTAAATCATATTAAGAAACTTGTTTAGAATAATTCATAATATAGTATAAGAAAAATTCATTTCCGACTGTTAGTGCTAGAAGTAATTCAAGATGCATTGCACACTCCAGACAAAAAGTAAGATATTTGAATGTAGAAATAATTAAAAAATATTTGTAAGAAATATTCGCGTTTAATTTAATTATAATTAATTTAATTTAAAAAATACATTGATTATAATATAACTATATAATTGAACTATTATGAGTCCATAAAAAAAATGCAGAATTATGGAAGAATTACAGAAATTAGTAATTATAGAAATTAATATTGTCAGTTTGATATGACATAAATAGATCTTATTGTTAGTATATAATATTGTCTATTTAAAAAGATTCAAAACTTGAAATTATCGATTTAATTAAGAACTTATTTAAGAAATATTTTGATTATTATACATATATGTAGATACATAAAAAAATCTATTTTATTAATAAATAGCGGGAAAGTACATATTAGTTTAATAGTGCTAATTTAATATAAAAACAATTAAGATAAATTTGTTACTTTTGTTAAACGTTTTTCTAATTTTGCAAATAACTGACAACCTTTTGCATTAATCTTTTACCTTCAGCAGCGACCAATACCTCAGACCTTATGCGGCGCGCTGCAAAAGGAACCGAATTGCAAATGCCTGGTGCTAACAGTCCTTATATACGGCTGTCTTGCAGCAGTAACATGGTGCAGATGTGCCAATGTTACTAAGGTACGTGAAAGATGTTTTGCATCTGAATATATATTTACAACTGATTTTATGCCGCTGGATGCGATGGATTGAAACATCAAATTGTTTCGAATCACAACTATTTCGAATATTTTCTATTATTATCCAAAAATTGTTGAATCTTAAAAATTTTTTCCTTTAAGATGTTAAAGAAGCCTTGAAAGTCTCAATTACATGAAATCTTAAAGAAATCTTTCAAAAAAATGAACAAGTATATGCCAAGTGCATAACAAGTGCATAAACAAGTATCGAATATTACATCCTTCCTAATAAAAATATATATAAATACGATTAGATTAATATATATAAATATGAATCAAATATTTTATTATTATTCAAAATTTCGAAAAATTTGTAAAAAACTAGTAATTAATAAAAAGATGATTATATACGAAGGATTATTAAGAGGATGCTGGAGCTGTCTGTATTATTGATAAAATTAAAAAAAATTCCTTTTCCATGATTAAAATATACATGCTTAATGTATCTTGCGTTGGTATTTCGTGTTCAAAGCTGAAAAAAATAAAACTTTACAGATTTCTTTATCCATTTTCCACCTCCAGCGTTACTGGGCGCCACTTTACTAAGATAAAAATAGATAAAGAAATTTATGATTTTTTATTTTTTCTGTAAAAATTTCGGATTAAGCTAGTGATAGTGCCACGAACTTGATAATGGTATGAACATGTACATAGTGAGTTCACGGCGTTATAGGGCTATATTTACATCCTCAGACATTCGACGTTTAATGTTCCTATGTAAAGGTATCTTCACGTAAAAAAAATTTTTTAAATTGTAATTTTTACAATCAGTTTCATATAATATGTATGTGATGAATTATTGAAATTGCAATTGTATACTTACCCAACAACACAGACATAGTTACGTTATAATTACATCTAAGAAGACTATGATTTGTTGATTGATCGTAGAACCGAGAATATTTTAGTGTTGGTGTCATCAATAAATCATATTCTTCTATTTGAATGTAATTATTACAATGTAACTATATATGTATATATTATATTACAAATATTGCCTCTATGAGTAGGAAATTACGACTAACATGTGCAATATGTATATATAATAACGTGTTATACAACATTTGTAGGTTTTTTTAAATAGCGGACACTAATCATGTAGTACTGATTAAAAATTGAGTCGAAAAGTCTTCTATAATTTTCGCAATGGTTGACGAAATATTAATTTCTAAAGATTGCCAATGTTTAAGCGCGTATCCAACCCGGCTATCCAACCATTAACTATATTATGAAAGTTGCAAAATGGTAGAGAATTTTTCAACTCAATTTTTGATCAGGAATAACATTACGTGAATCGCTTCGGCAATTTTTAGAAATTAATAGTTTATTTTTAGTTTAAAGATATCAAACGTTTCAAATATTTAAGCGCTTATAAAAGATGTCTAAATGAAGATTTTTTTCAAGATTTTTAAGTTATTTTATATTTAATATATAAATAAAATTTAATATAT